TAAAACTCTGATCTCATGAAAGGTGGATGCAATATTCTGTATTTGTTTAGTGTTGATAAAAAAAATAAAAAATAAAAAACTAACTAGATAATAAAACTCATGTTTTAAAAGTTAAATTAGTGTGAGAAGTATTAAATTAATGGGTATGGTGGTGCAGGTAATAGCTACAAGGAATAGCCGAGAACACAGCAATAGGCTTGAGAATACGTGCTGGCGCATTTGGCATCTCGCCCGTAAAAAGAAACAGGTGAGTGAATCAAGTGCTCAACTAAAACTAGCTACTTGACAAAGGAAAAGAAGGAATCTGGTTCGAACTTGGTGTGTGGGTGAGTGAGTGCAGATGGCATGGGATGACGCTCAAAGGCTTGTCAAACGACGTCTGGACAGGGAGCAAGGGCGCCGTGACGCGGAGGATGACCTTTCCGAGCTGTCTGAAGGCGAGAAGGAAAAAGGGGACGTGAGTTGCGCAGAACCAACAGTGAAGGATATTTTAAGAAGTAAATCCGACATGCCTGTGTGGTCCGATGATGTTAACAAGTCTAGGCATCTTTACGTTGTCCTGATCAGGTACGTATATATTTTTGCATATGCAGTTGAAAGTCAAAGTGTGCCGTACAATTTGATTATAGCGCGTTTCTTGTTCTTGACATCAATGACATGTTGTAGTATGCATGGGTTGGTGCGTGGAGAAAACATGGAACTCGGAAGAGATTCCGATACAGGCGGTCAGGTAAGAACAATGATCCGTTGATTCAGAATGATAATATATTCATCAAGAAGTAATATCATGTATGAAATTAATACTAATGGAATGTGTATGGATTTACGTATGCATGGTACCTGCGATATTCAGGTCAAGTATGTGATTGAACTTGCTCGTGCTCTGGCTAATACAAAGGGAGTCTACCGAGTTGATCTGCTAACGAGACAAATTACTTCACCGGAGGTAGACTCCAGCTACGGTGAACCCAATGAGATGCTCATATGTCCACCTGATGGAAGTGGCAGCTGTGGAGCCTACATTGTCCGCCTCCCCTGTGGACCCCACGATAAGTAATACCCTTCAACCCTTTTTTTCTTAATCCTACTGCCCTAGTACGTGTCTAGTGACCTAGTCCAACTCCAGATGTGAATATGAATTTGATTGAGGCATGCTGCCTGCAGGTATATACCCAAAGAGTCACTTTGGCCTCACATACCTGAATTCGTTGATGGGGCTCTCGGCCACATTGTGAACATGGCAAGAGCTCTTGGTGAAGAAGTCAATGGGGGAAAACCCACATGGCCTTATGTGATCCATGGCCACTATGCCGATGCTGGGGAGGTGGCTGCTCACTTGTCCGGGGCTTTGAACGTGCCAATGGTGCTAACTGGGCATTCGTTAGGCCGAAACAAGTTTGAACAATTGCTCAAACAAGGGAGGTTGACAAAGGAGGACATCAACGCAACCTACAAAATCATGAGGAGGATCGAGGGTGAGGAGCTGGGGTTGGATTCTGCTGAAACGGTGGTCACCAGCACTAGGCAAGAAATCGAAGAGCAATGGGGACTCTACGATGGCTTTGACCTCAAGTTGGAGAGGAAACTTAGGGTTAGGAGACGTCGTGGAGTCAGTTGCCTTGGACGATACATGCCAAGAATGGTGGTAAGCAACACTTCACATTCTCTTCTCCTCACTGTCAATGATTGTGGATTTCCAAATGAAAGATTAATGACTTAACAACGTCATGTCTCATATTTCATTCTTTTCTTCCCAAAGTCTTATACAGACTAATCACTATGCGGTGACGACATTTAGGTTATACCGCCAGGCATGGACTTCAGCTGTGTTACTGCCCATGATTCCGAAGGAGATGGAGATCTCAAATCCTTGATTGGCTCTGATAGAGGTCAAAGCAAAAGGCATCTGCCTCCAATCTGGTCTGAGGTTGCATATTCTTCTACCTATTTCTCCTTTCACATATTCCCATTCCCTTCAATTGGTTATACAGGTATATATGCATTTTGTCCACCGGAAATGAAACAATCTCCCATCTCCTCCATAGCATTTCCGATCCTCCATGGAAAGAGTGAATGGAGATCTTCCTATAAATAAACTAGGTTTAGACTGACTTACAATAGGCATGTTATTGCCTGCTGATGCTGATTTCGTTTGTTGCAATGCAGGTAATGCGATTTTTTACCAACCCTCACAAGCCCACTATACTTGCATTGTCTCGTCCTGACCCCAAGAAAAATGTTACTACCTTGCTCAAGGCCTTTGGGGAATGCCGAGCTCTTCGGGAGCTAGCCAACTTGGTAAAGTTCATACTTTGATTTCCGATAACTGGATCATGTATTCTTAAACCAGACACTAATGCTGGGTTACACCTGTTGCTTATGCAGACACTAATACTTGGTAACAGAGATGACATTGAAGAAATGTCAAATAGTAGCTCGGTTGTTCTTACAACCGTACTCAAGCTCATTGACAAGTATGATCTGTATGGGCAAGTGGCCTATCCTAAGCATCACAAGCAATCAGATGTGCCAGACATTTATCGTCTAGCTGCAAAAACAAAGGTACATACACACTGTATCATATAGGGCTTCAATTATTTCTTTAAAAATGAGCCTTGGTTGACTTCACAAGGTCAGATGACCCTTGTATCATCGTCCCCAAATAATCTGTTTTCGTACTATGCTACCTGCTGGTCATTTCTTTTCAACACTTCAATTTCTGAGAGTAACAAATTACAGTGATTTCTATTGAAGGGAGTTTTCATCAACCCAGCTCTCGTGGAACCTTTCGGGCTCACAATTATAGAGGTGAGCTTTTCATGATCATCTGCTTCATTTCTAGGCTCTAGTGCAGATATTCTTATGAAACGGTAATTATTTGTCCTAATTCCTCACTGCAAACAGTGTATATAATGTTCTTGTGGTTTTGTTTCCAGGCAGCTGCTTATGGTTTACCAGTGGTCGCCACCAAAAATGGAGGGCCTGTGGATATTCTGAAGGTAACTATATTATTTATACCACATTTAGTTACCTCATTATTTCCACAAACAGAGGTGGCTCACTTGTATTAGTGATTCTCACAACTATCAGAGACGTGGAATACTTATTGTTGCTTTGTGTCTAATGAACTAACGGATAGCTGACTCTGTATTACCAGGCACTAAATAACGGCCTCCTAGTTGACCCACATGACCAGAAAGCCATAGAAGAGGCACTGCTCAAACTTGTCGGAGAAAAAAACCTCTGGCTTGAATGCAGAAATAACGGTCTGAAGAACATCCACCGCTTTTCGTGGCCAGAACACTGCCGAAACTACCTCTCCCATGTTGAACATTCCAGAAACCGTCACCCCACTACCCGTCGTCAGATCACGCCAATTCCTGAAGAACCATTGAGTGACTCTCTAAAAGATGTGGAAGACCTTTCTTTGAGATTCTCTGTGGAAGGAGACTTCAAGCATAATGGAGAGCTCGATGCAGCAACTAGACAGAGGGAACTGATTGAAGCCATAACTAGAATGTCTTCGTCCACTAGCAATGTAGGTGCTACTTATGGTCCTGGCAGAAGGCAGAGTCTATTTGTAATTGCCATCGACTGTTATGACCAGAATGGAGACGGCACCCAGGTATTTCAAGAAATTCTAGTGAATGTAAAGAAAGCAGCAGGCTTAGGCTATGGCCAGGGTCGAGTAGGCATTGTGTTGTTAACTGGTTCCAGCTTACAAGATATCATGAAAGCGTTTAAAGGGTGCCAAGTAAACATAGAAGATTTTGACGCGTTGGTCTGCAAAAGTGGGAGTGAAATGTACTACCCATGGAGGGATTTAGCAGCTGATGCAGATTATGAAACCCATATCGAGTACAGATGGCCTGGGGAGAATGTGAGGTCCATGGTTCCAAGGCTAGCCAGGCTAGAAGTTGGAGCTGAGGATGATGTCGTGGAGTATGCCAGATCAAGTAGCTCTAGGTGCTACTCTTATAGTGTGAAACCAGGAGCCAAGGTGAGAAACTTGCTATACTGTCGAGAAACTACTAACCTCAATGGAAAGTGGTTCCCTAAGACATATTGTAGTTTCATAATAAAAAATATCTATGATCTGCTGTAACAATTGTAGACTCGACGGGTTGATGACCTGCGCCAATTGTTGCGGATGAGAGGCTTCCGATGCAACCTTGTCTACACTCGTGTAGCTTCAAGGTTAAATGTTGTACCCCTAGTTGCATCAAGAGTACAAGCACTAAGGTTGGGTTTCATTTGCTTACTGTATTATTATTACGCAACACTACACTGATGAAAGCATCAGAATATTTTGGTATTACTAAGCTGCTCTTCTATTCTCCTATGTAGATATCTTTCTGTCAGGTGGGCCATTGATCTTTCGAAAGTGGTTGTATTTGTCGGGGAAAAAGGAGATACAGACAATGAAGACTTGCTGGCCGGCCTCCACAAGACCCTAGTTCTAAGAGGCTCTGTTGAGTATGGCAGTGAGAAGCTTATTCACGGTAAAGACAGTTTCAAAAGAGAAGATGTGGTCCCACAAGATAGCCTTAACATTGCCCTCGTGGAGAACTACCAAGCCCATGATATCTCAGCAGCACTTGAAGCACTTGGGATCAGGTGCTTTTAGTTTTTTCCATTCCTTTACTTGTTTATATGGGGAATATATTTCGACAACTCAAGCAAAAGTCTGAGTGCCACATATAAGGGAATATACATCTCCACAACCTGTAAGTAATTTCTCTTTGTGCAAGCAAGCATATAAATACAAAATAACTGAATTTTCCGTTTCCACCCTACCCTATATATCTTTTAATTTCATTACTGACTACTACAGAAAGGGCTCCCTCCCGTTCATGAATGATGTCTACTGGACATTCAAACGCACCTTAAAGTGCTTTGTTTAAGCATTCGTTAGCCCATGTTAGCATGGAGTATAAGAACTACCAATGTATGTGTGGTGAGTTAGTGGCAGATAGACTGCTATCCAGAGCCAAGTTAGCTAGGTGAATGTCAAAGACATTTTTCCATTAGTGTATATCCAAGAGAACTAATTTCTCACTTACACAAAGACATTTTCACTTATTGTATAGTGTTTGTGATGGAAATTTGTACAACTTTAACCAATGCCAATGCACAAAAAGACATTAATTTCAACTTGCACCATACCAACAACTAAATCAAATATCATTATGTCCCTGTTGCAAGAAAGGAACTAGATTTGGTTTCGGTTCTTGTTTGAACAGTTACCTGAAAAGCAGGCCAAGTATTCTAGGCTCTAGCCATTAGCCAACTGATGATTTCATTCTCAGACTTCCATCTTCCGCAATTCATGCGTCTGTTTCAAGTTTTTTTTTTATGCACAGATGCCCACTTCCACTTTGTATTCCTCTCCGCAAGTGCATATAACCACATGAGATATTCCCTGTCAAAAGCATAGTTTCAATGAAAGGAAGGACACAGAATTTTTTCTTATTCAAATAAAATCATCTTCTTTCCAGAAAATATTCACTGAAGATAGACTTCAATTATCCTACATTTCAAAACCATCAAATTTCCATGGAAACAAAGGCACCAAAATGCCAGATAATTCCTTTTCAAGTCTATTTAAGTGAGAACCCTTTCTCCAACAAACCCAGCTTTGGCACTTTGATTGGCCATATCACCAAACGGTCGCATGGTAACAAATTTCTGTAAATCTGTAAACACCAAAGAAAAACCCAATAAACAGTTTACCCTCAGTTTCTCAATTTGGTCCTGCAGAGTCTTCAAGTACTCAGTTTCTCCAGCTTTGTCTGATAGAAGAGCATCGTATTCTTCTTCCAGGGTCTTTATATCCATTGCCCTTAGCTCTGGCTGGAATCACCCACGTGAGAAGAGAAATGAAAAATTAGTTCACTCTATTCAAAATCCACCAAAACTCCATATTCCGGACAGTAAAACCAAGGACACACACTAGCAGAAAATAAAGTAATCATGTGAGACCAACTTCCCAGAGCATATCTTAGCATCGAATTTTAAATCCTATGTTTCTGAAAGCACCCGCATAGGCATGTATACATCCACAAAGACATCAATCTATTTGTATTAGCAACCAACTGACCTTAAAATCACTTTCCCTCAAATTTACTTGCTCAATAGCCTGCTTCATCTGAATCAGCACAAGAAAGCAGCATAAGAAACAATCACAACTCAAACTGTGAAGCAGATCTCAAAGAGAGGTCGAATAGTTGCAATATTAATTTAATAAAGGAAGTTGTTCTATAGGATGTGATGTGAAAAGCAGAATAAGCTTAATATGATTCCTTTCAAGTCAAATTGTATATCATACCGGTAGGTTCTCATGAAAATACATTGTCAGTTTTAGCTAAATACTTAAGCCTGAACATACCAAATAAAAAGAAAAAACAGAAAACCAACAAAACTTTGTGCAACCAAGATCCACTCTAATCAACTCATGTATATAAACGGCCACAACAACAACAACAACAACAAAGCCTTGTCCCACTAAGTGGGGTCGGCTATATGAATCCTAGAACGCCATTGCGCTCGGTTTTGTGTCATGTCCTCCGTTAGATCCAAGTACTCTAAGTCTTTTCTTAGGGTCTTTTCCAAAGTTTCCTAGATCTTCCTCTACCCCTTCGGCCCTGAACCTCTGTCCCATAGTCACATCTTGGAACCGGAGCGTCAATAGGCCTTCTTTGCACATGTCCAAACCCCCGTAACCGATTTTCTCTCATCTTTCCTTCAATTTCGGCTACTCCTACTTTACCTCGGATATCCTCATTCCTATCTTATCCTTTCTCGTGTGCCCACACATCCAACGAAGCATCCTCATCTCCGCTACACCCATTTTGTGTACGTGTTGATGCTTCACCGCCCAACATTCTGTGCCATACAGCATCGCCGGCCTTATTGTCGTCCTATAAAATTTTCCCTTGAGCTTCAGTGGCATACAACGGTCACACAACACGCTGGATGCACTCTTCCACTTCATCCATCCAGCTTGTATTCTATGGTTGAGGTCTCTATCTAATTCTCCGTTCTTTTGCAAAAAGTATAAAATATTCTGTTGTCAGAGTGTCAATCTAAATCATACATAGAACGAGAATCCATCTAAATAAAGGTTCAAACAATCTGACGACAAAGTATATCATACTGCCTTCCAGAGAATGTTTCCTGCTTATACATGTAGAGAGAGAGAGCGAGAGAGAGAGAAATTTCACTTGTCAGACTCTGACTTGTGATGTTGCCAACCTGCAAGCCTAGACTGTTGTTTAGGTTGTCTAAATATCACCTAAATTGACTGTCTAAGAAAGTAGCATGTCAAACTTTCTGGCAACATATACCTTATGTATACCCCATCTAAAAGAAAGAATCAATATATGCTAATTTAATGGAACCAAAAAAAATCTTGTGGAGGCAACCTTGCAGTTCTCGATAACAAGTTCAGAGTTCATTTGTAAAATATCATCAAGCTTGGCTTTAGCAGAGTCCAACATGTTCATTAGGTTCTTCCTTGCATCATTGCCCTGTTATGACAAAATAAATCGAAAGGTTGCCACTACATAAAACTCCATACATCTTAAGGATCAACCAAAGTAGTTCCATACCTGGTTGTCCATGCTGAGGTGGTTATCAAAACTAGCCTTCCCTGTATAAGACGAGTAAAAATAATAATATTACAAGTAAAATTACTGTGTATCAGAGGCATGTCTTGAATTAAAGACACCTTGCTAGCATCATATGGAGCATGATATATTTTCCCTATCATTGGTGTATAACTGAGGCAAGTTGCTCTTACAATACCTAATTTGGTAGTGGTACAGCTTGTTCTTAACCCATTTTATAGACTGCAATTTATATGCTAATTTAAAATAAAGAAACAGATCATAAAATATGATTGGAAAATTTGTTTTGGCTAGGAAGGCCTTGCTTCTTTCTTAAACAGAATGATTATTACATACTTTCATTTGGAAGGTAGGGTGTAAACTGCAAAGGCAGCATGCATAAAGAAGTTTCATCAGCTCCAGCATGATGCTTTTAGGTTCAACTGTGTTGCAAAATATTAACAATTTGAATGCAATGGTTTCTAAATCACCAGCTTTCTTTCAGGACTTCGCCTTAGAAGGCATAAATAACTTCGCTAATAGATCACATTTTATTTGATCTCATTGCCATTATATTATATGCACAACAGAAAGTTGATGATAGAGACCCCAAACTCAGAAGAGCATATAGTTAAGTAGTCTAGGGCCATACCTTGAAACTCTTTCTCATCAAATCTATCCTTAACCTGCATAAAATCTAATTAGTCCTGTGACACAATTAACTTCTATCTGCATTACTTTAAACTTTATATCAGAAGCACAAGCAAGAAGATAAAAAAAGACCCAGCAATACATAATTACGCATGAGTTTCACATCTCCAAAAATCCAAATCTTTTATATAGTCTAAGAAGGGTGTATTCAATTGAGAATGTGAGAGATTTTAATGGATTTATAAATCCATGGATTTTTATGGAGTTTAATTGATTTGTAGAGATTCCATATAAAATTTTGATTCAATTCCCTCGAAATCTCATGGGAAGAGGTGAGATTTGTGGATACTTAAAATACACTACGAAATCTCTCCAATTCCCTCTAATTCTTTAACTTTCTCAAATTCTTTAAAATCAATTTCTAATTGAATACACCTGGAATGTTATAAACTTCTTTAAAATCTTAATTGAATACACCTGGATTTCTAAGAATTTTAATAAACTATTTTGAAATTCTAATTGAATACACCTAGAATTTCAGAGAATCACTTAAAATCCTAATTGAATACCCCTAGAATTATTAATTCCCTGAAACTCTCTCAGAATCCTAATTGAATACACCCTAATAAGTCTGAAGAAATAAGCGGTTTTTTATGAAGGAAAGGGGAAAAGGACTTGCCACAGTTGGAAACATAGATTCATGGGTTATTATGGGGCTCTTGTTGAGTACTGGCTCACCCTTAAAATCTATTTCATTACTATAGTGGGATTTTAAAGAAATGGGCTTCAATTTTTAAGCTTCTCATTACCCGCAGGAGTCCCACCTCCATGGCATAAAAATTACTGTTTCTTCAATCAAGAGTCAAGACATCAAGTCAAAGAAGTGAGGAAATTGTACACATATGTATTACAGTAAACTAGAAAGATAGCCAACATCGTTAAAGAAGCTATCACATGTGTAAATAAAGAAAGACAAAAAAGAATGAAGTTGTACCATTCCATGCTCTCCCGGTTCCATGTGAGTGCAGTGAGAATAGACCCAATCCTAACCAAAATTTAAAAAGGGAACAATAAATGCAATGAAGAAAGAGCACAATGTAAATGAAGGTGACTCCAAAACCAAACCTGTTGCAGCTGCAATTTGGCATTGACATCCTCTCTAACCTTCATGTAGTGAGTGCTGTTATGACAAACATGGAAAGTCAATAAGTATTTTTTTTCTCGATTTATGTGTGTCCTCACTGGGAATAAGTTGATATAAAATATCAGCTTCATGTTAAACAATTTAGCTTGCGTATTGAAATACCTCTTTTCTATAAGCTTGGAAGATAAGTTGATTCTTTCTTGTTCGATAAGCTCCAGAGTCTACATAGGTACCAAAATATTTATTGTCATGACGCATGAGCAATTGAACATATGATAAACTTATTCATTTCTCTTGGAAAGTAAAATGAATACTAGTCAGGGATGTGAAATGATAAACACTACATGCATAATTCAACTCGCCTTTACTATTCCATTAAAGAGTCAAAAGAAATATTTTTATGAAACAAATTTTGTCTTATACGAAACAGATAAACCCAGACTCTCAAATGAAGTGTAGTCAGCAAAATAGTAATGTACATCAGAACTTTGAATTTTTTTAACTTGTTAGATACTCCCTGCATTCTTAACTTCTTACAATCAGACATGCATGGCCAGAAAATAGAACTAAAAAACTTATCTATATGGTATTAAAAAAATGTACAGAAAAGCATGGCTTATACGCACTTGAATATAAGCAAGGCTACCGCACATTATAGAGAAGAAAGGGCTTCTGATTATGAGTTAAACATGTAAAGAAAACCAAAGAAAAATAAAATGACCAAAGTCCAAGTATTGACCTCAAAATGGAACACCAACACAAGCGTAATATCAAACAGGCTTCTATTGGATACAAGATAGTTATACCATTGACGTGAAGCTGCTCAGAACAGGTCAATGTTTTTTATTTCAAGTAAAGTCTAAGCCATGTGTTTGGAACTTTGTTGGGCAATTAGAAATTCCATCTGAACAGAAGACATAAGGAAGAAAATGACTTTTTCAAAAGTTAAAACAGAAGGCACGAGGAAGATGATGCAGCTGTCCACTTGGATTTAAAATGTTTCTACATTTTTCACTGTTTTACTTTATGAAAATTGATGATTATTACAATAATTTGCACACCTCACAACTTCCATTTGTACATACTACATGTTGCCAAGTTGATTGCTTTAAGTTTTAACCTCATCTTAATTAGCATACACCAGCAGAGCCACACACAAACACACAAAGGCTACCTGGATCAGGGTGGACGAATCAGCCTCCAAAGAAGCTATCTTTCTCTGCTTTTCCAAAATTAGTGAGCATACTTGACCCTTGGCATTTTTCATCTGCTCAATGTCTTCCATGAATCGTTTTATTTCTGATATTGCTGCAACAGAAAAGAGTCACAATTCAGAAGTGTAAAAGGCAACTAACTGAAGAACAAATGGCAAATAGAAAATAGTTTCATATCTGGACTCAATGCATTAAACTGCTCGAATGTTCAAATGGAAGATGCTGGATTTTACTTTCCCAACTAACTACAAATTAAAAGGAAACCTTAATGACCAAAACATCTGGACTTGAATGCATTAAATTGCTTGAAATGTTGTAAAGGACTTATAATCAACAGAAATCCTTGAATAACTAGAATATTCAAACAAGTTGAACACAGATCCAATCCAATTGAATGCATCTCGTGCCTCAATCTCACTTCTCGCGTGTCTGAGAAGCATAGGGTAGCAGCAAAGAGTCAAGATAGACTTGATTCAACAGTTTGAAGGCTGTCCTTTATAAATTGCTGGCATTTTGGTCATATAATTAGCATTAAATTTACATTTAAAACGAGTCTACTGTAGTAGGAAGCTAGGAGCAAAATTCGATGTTCCAACATTTGAGAAAAATACGGGTATTAGATTGAAGGAAACGAATCAAAATTTTGCACTCATTAATTTTAAACACAGATTAAAAGAATGAGCAAACTGCCTGCACACATACAAAAATTGCGTCAAACTAAGCACGAAATGTAAATGCGAAGAAGAAGACAAGAACCAGAATTGAGATCGTTCTCCAATGTCTGAATGGTGGTCAACTGCATTTGCTCTTCCACTGAGACCTTTGCAGCTTGATCTTCCACATCTATACATTTTTTGAATTAAAAAAGAACAGATCAATCGGTCGAAATTTGCGTAATTAATTCAGAAAAAAAAAAAAAAAAAAAAAAAAAAAAAAAAAAAAGAGGAAAATATCAACAAATTGAAAAGAGAGGGATTCGAAATGGAAACGCACCGTTCATCTGAGAGCGCAATGTCTTCATGTACTGCAAGTATTTCCTTTTTTTCTCTTCTCTTCTTCTCTACTATCACTTCTTCTGTCTTCTTCACTTCCTTTAACTTTCTTCATTCTTTCTTGAACTAGCATTCTATGTCTCATCAAGATGCAGTGCTAAGTATCGATCAATGCATGCTTTCACAACCTGTTTTGTAAATTGGCGCATAGACTAAGAGAGTGAGTAGTATTACAGTGAACCGCTGATTTTTTGCGCCAGTAGAAGACAGTTGAGTGTGTAGAAAGACATCGAGAGGTTCATTGGTCGCATTCAAGAAAATTATCATAACCACTTCTATCTATTCTTCTCACGCTCTGTATAAACAGAATGAGTTAATTGCCATAATTTGCTCTTTTATTGGCCCACCCTCAAAACACACACAATTTTTTGTCGTGTGGATCTATGTATGTACTATATTTATACTGCGAGTCTGCCAGATCCAATAATAAGCATTATTTGAGATGGTATTGCTCTACTCAACAATATTTAGGGACTTTTATCAGCAATCTTGTGAGAGCTTGAGAATCTTTTATAATGTTACTAAATAACCACACGAACATTCACACAATATATGAAATTCTTTCTCCTACACATGATCAAATTTTTTAAATCTCAATTGGTAGTGAGAACGTACTTACGTGTGTTAATTATTAACTACACCGTGAGCTTGCGTCAATGAGTTTTTCGAATCCAAAATATACTGGTTCATTCACTGTCATACATCACTATAACTCTCAGTCTTGATCAGAAAGGTGAGACCAGTGATGAAAAGATGACTAGGACCTTATGGGATCCATCTCGGCGTCTCTCGATCTGACGCTAGAGGTAAGGGTCCAATCTCCGAAGTGCTGTGTAGAGTGGGGAACAGTAAAGGTCGATGGGGCCATATTTATGCACGCGATCACTGTTGTATGTACGCACCTCGAAAGCCTCAACAAGGAGCCAGAGAGGTGAAGTCACATCGCCTTCCTAAGGTGGTGGAGCGTTGGGCATCTGCACTAATTATGAAAAGTAATCTATCATTTGTATCCAGGTAAGTGCACTTATATAGACTTGTCATATATGTGAGATAGAACTCACCATAAAGGTGCTCGAGAGTAATTGGTAGACGATATGTCTCATGTTGTCCCACTTCGTACATTTTGTATAAGTTGACTAGACTTTTCTATGGACTTTGATTTTAACTGATAACCCTTTGAACTTTATAAATGGACAATTTTCCTCATTAACAAATCATGCTGAATAGAGTTTAGCAGATATTGTATTCCTATTTTTGAATGTATCATTCAATTAAGTAAAGGTTAAAATAGCGCAAAACACACAGGAGCCGGACTGACTTTTCTCTATTATTTTATTATCGGCCTTGTTATTTCATTTTTATTATGTTAATTTCAAAACAATAAAATTGAACTGTAAATAATTCTTATTGACGGACTTAAATGATGACGATTTTGGTTTTTTCATTTTATGTATTTATTACTTGTATTGTAAGAAAAGTTTCATAGCTTCATCTTATCAACTAGATTCAATCATTTTTTTCGTTATTTAGTTTCATTAGGAGTGCTAGTGAGGTACCTCATAGGAACATTGAGTCGTGGGGCATTGTGATTATTTATGGTTTTTGTGTCTACATGTGCATTGCGTACGAATGTGAGAGATTCTATGATGTGTGGAAGTATTTGAGGTTGTTTTATTGGACTGACAACTTATGCAATGAAATTATTATGATTAAGATAAGATTATGGACTAGGATAGATTTATTGCTCTTGCAGTTTCATTTGAATTTCAAAATGTAAGTGAGAATACGAGATCACCCTCGCAGGAATTGTTTAGTGCTGAGATTTGCAGCTCCCTAATGGCACCAGCAAATGATATACAGTTGGTCGTGTTGCTGTGATTCGTGCTCGTTTTTGGGGGTTTGTCAGGTTTGGTCTAGGTCTCTGTTATTTTTGAGCAGATCTACCTCTTTTTTTTGGATTCAGATTGCTCAAACTGCAGAATAATAATGTTGTGAATTTTATGAACCTCTTATGATTAGTTCATTATAATAAGTCTTTTCTTCCTTTTCGGGCATTATGCCATGTTGGTTCTAACAAAAAGACAGTTCAACACTTTATTTTTTAAAATGTTAGAATTATCAAGAAAACATACAATAATTCGTCAACTTGAACCCTAGAGAAAAGTTTAATTCACCTTGACTTGTAACTTTTGTACAGCCGTCAAAATATATTTCGTGGTGATATATTGACTAGAATATCCTCGTTCAGAGGTTAAGTGATAGCTGTGGAGTAGTCGGTATAGATAGATCTCTGAGTTCTTGAGGTGTTAGACCTAATTATAATTCAGATTACCTCTATGTTTTTAGCAACATTAAAATTCTCATGGTTGTCTGTGGTTAGTTAGTAAGCCATAAAACTGGACACACACCATCACTCACACACACCACTCCTTGACTTCTCTCCGTCTCTCCACTCCCTGATTTCTTGCATGTTCGACTACAACACTGTCAGGACACCCTCAAACCCTTTCAAGGAGTTCACAGAGTATATTGTGTGATCGATGATTTATTGGACTGTTGCAAAGCGTTTGGAGATCTGATGAATGGTAGTTGACTCGGTTGGACATGAAAAGTCATCAAAATACCCGACGAAACACATATATCTCCGTATTTCGAGCATGATTCATCTGCCATCTCGTGGATGATTTTGTAAGTTTTTTAGAATTATTTTATAGCTGTCTAGTGAGCTATGATCTTTCTTCACCGGAGCTCTTTGATAGATAAGGAAAAAACAAGTGTATTGGACCCGTCGGGAAGATTGAGTTTGGCGAGAGGGGATTTATCGAGGTTAGTATTCGTTAATCACACCGCGTGCAATCGAAAATCGCAGGTGAGATATATTAGGGATTAAAGTAAGACGCTTTTGTTTAACTCAATCCTATAGCTTCACAGAATTGGGTATGATCCTTGTACATTTCGTGAATCTGTTGGTATGAGATATCGAAGAGGATATACGCAATGGTTTGATTGTTTTGCAGAATACCGAGATTGTGCGAATATTCTTTCCGCGATCCATAGGAAGAACGGAACTTAGTATCCATCAATGTCTGTGACCAGAATACTATCATACGTGATCAGTGTATATGCGCGTTAACTCTTTGTTAAAGTATTTAAGGAATATCTATACAGAAAGTTAAGATAGTAGTTAGAGGTTGGTCGACCCGTGTGGAGGGCGCCACGAGGTCACAATGGATGGTCTAGAGATAGATTTATTATCTGAAGAAAATTATGGGGAATGTTCTGAGGTGGGTAGACAATCATTTCAGAGTGATCATATTATACAATCACCGACTTATGGATGTTGAGTAATATTTAATAGTTTTGCTGATATGTGCTTTATAACTAACCGTATTCAGTTTATTTCGCATATAAGTGGACCTTCCTGAGGATGACGCGATCAATCGAGGCTCGGGGTTACACCTTCTAATATCAGTGAATGGGCTTTTTTTTCTCATTATACCTATTACTTGAGTTTTTCAAAATGAATTTGAATGAAATATACGTTTTACACATGCCATGCAAAGTATCGTCTATTTTTATATGCATTAGTAGTTGTATATATTTATTATGATGTAGCGGACGCAGGTAAGTTCATAATTAAAGAATAGGTTACTTCAAATATGTGAGATTGATGTGAATGTATTGAGAGCTTATGAACCTACACCGCTTAAGTTAGTTCTCTCCGCTTCAGAGTTAGGGCACACATCTTTTATGTGATGTTACCTCCCGCGCACCATATGCCTCTACTTTGGATCCAAGTTAGGATGCACCAGACTTGTTCTGTGACATACCGCTGATAGGCTGGTCTCGTTACTCTGTTTAGGCTGAACAGCCACAGTGATTATTTCGCACAGCTTGTATCACGAGTGACGTAGTACCGATAAGATCACATTATTTAGCTATTACACTAACTACATTGAATCGTACAGACCACTTAGGTCGAGGATGTTAAAATGTCCAAGACGTCAGTTGTCGCAGGGAATTTGATTCTCGAAGTTTAGAGGGATTTGGTCGTATGCTTATATAGTCTGAGCTACGAGAGAGTACTTTGTTAGCATTATATGCGATTGAGATTAGGACTCTGGCAATGGTATCTAATCAGTTGTGATGTGATGTTGGTTCATTCTGGTGAGTATGTTGATCTGGCTGTGGGATAATATATTGAGCAGTGATATATTACTATTAATATATATGGGGCGAGACATATAGCAGGATTTTAACAGTGGGATGACGGGTTAGACTTGGTGTTTTAGAGATGAAATGAATGAGTGTTTGAAATTTAGTTTTTGCTCTCACTTCACACTTTATGCTAGTTATATGATTGGCATATCCATAGTGTGTAGGTAGCAAGTAGTCTTGGTTTGGATACACTGTAGGGTTGGTAACGACCGAGGAGCGTTCTTACACATGAACTCACCATGTTATCATGTGTAAGGCTGCACCTGTTGGTGTGTTGATTACTCAACTTAGTTCTATTTCTGTGGTTCCTATCTTGAGGGATCGTGCAAGTTTAGGGACTATTTTTCTCGCTAACTAGGGTTGTTGCCTGTTTCACACACTATTGACATAGATCTCGTACTCATGGCAACAATACTTCACATGAGGCATACTACGTCTATTGTTTGCATAATTCGGTTTTTTGATTAATTCGTACACTCCTTATACTCTCAATTAGGACTACCTTGCTTGCATATAAGGACTTCGATGCAGTATGTGTTACGTCACTCCACCCATCATTGACAGCGTCAAACAATGCCTTCAGTAGTTGGTACTGGTCGTGGTCGAGTGTGTTCATGTTATATTTCTTTAATTTCCACACTTTCTATATCTTTTCACGTTTTACATGTATATAAGTATGCACATACCAAATCACTAATTTCTAGATATACGCTTTCTTCAACGAATATGAAAAGAAACTGAAAATATGGTAATTCACATTTGCCGTAATACAATAAGACTGATTGTTCTGTGGGAATTGTTTGTTATATTAATCTATAAAATAAGTGAGAAAATGAGTCCTATCTTCTAGTTTAATCATATTCCTTATTTTTCTATAAGGACAAAGGCTGGATGAAGCATTGCATGATATGATTGAGTAGTTAAACTGATG